CCTGCAGGAGCACATTGTTCTACTTTTATGCTTGGCCTTTTGTGTACCCTGCACCCGAAAGGCGCAAGGGTTTACATACTCGTTTATGTACTTCCGTCTCTCAAACCCAACTGTTCTGAGCACTAGAGATATTTCTTAAACACTTATCAAGCTTATCACCGCAGTCCAAATCAATGCTCGCTCTTATTTAGCTCTGGCATAGTGGACCTACATTTATTCTATATTTGCAAGTTATCCCTAAGTTTCTTCAAGTTGTAGAACTTTGGGTGAAGTACCGGAGGATACAGGGTAAGCATAAGTCAGGCTTGCGCGCCTTAAATGTTTCGCTCGTTCGTTTCTTCCTTTTTTCCAGAGCGCTGCACTTTTCCTCACTGCACATTTTCCCATACGAGTGCGCGTGTGTGTGTGTGTGTGTGTATGTTTGCATGCACATAATAGAATCTCTGCCATATGGCACGTAATATACACTCGACTCCGATGTTTGCTTTAGCCCGACGTTGCCACTTTGGCTGCCTGCAATGCAATTGCCTGCAATGTGATGACGATGACTTTATCAACGCACTGCTAAATGCTGCTCGGTCTTATTGACAAATGTGTGTCGATGGCACATACACACGTACTATACATACATACAAGTATGTACACTACTGGGTGCACAATGGTGAGCCAGAGAGCGAAAGTTCTAGAATTCCAAGTCAACATACAAAACCTCCAAGTGATTGTGCACGAATATTCTGAGGGTCCATTATTTCCAAGAAAAATCAATTCCATAAAAACGGACTGATAGGCATTCGCAGAATTAATTGTAGCAACATAAAGCTATTTTTTTAGAAATAAATATTTTATTTTTTTCTTCGAAATTCAAAATCCAATTCCCGAGGGAACTTTGATTTAATAGAACTATAAAAACCTCAATGATATATTTAGCATTATAGCGAATATACAGCTAACTAGAATTGGCAATCTAATGCTATTATCAGTATTTGCTTTGCTAACCTCGACCTACGTACAAAATAAAATTGTATAGAGTGTGCCTCGACAGAGAAAGTTGGCATCTAGCCAATACCAGCGTGGAGGGAGCCCTTTGTAGGATATTGGGCGCTACCCTTTAAGAAAGCAAACTTATGCCACTGTTCTATACACTATACTACATTCATTTTTAGGGGTGTGCATAGCTGCTGCAGACTGATACATTTAATTTTTTATACCCTGTACCCAAAGGGTACGAGAGTACATGGAACACACAGAAGGAGGCGTGGTAGACCCCATAAAGTATATATATTCTTGACCAGCATGACAAGCCGAGTCGATATAGCCATGTCCGTCTGTCTGTCTGTCTGTCCGTCTGTCTGTCCGTCTGTCTGTCCGTCTGTCCGTCTGTCTGCCCGTCTGTCTGTATGAACGCAAGGATCTCAGAAAGTAGAAGAGCTATAATAACCAAACTTGGTATACAGATTCTCCTGAGCCCGAGAAAGGACGAGTTTGTTCATTTTTCCCGATGCATAATTAATTAATTTAATTAATTTAATTTCTTTTTTGTGGGGTGGTACAGGTGGAGTTGAGCCTGCTAGCATTTATTTCTTTTTTAATATTCTGAGTGGCAAAAATCTCTTGGCTTGCACTTGGCATTATTTTTTATGTTTTTAAACATTAAAGAAAAGTGGAGTTCCGGAGTCGAGCATACCCATCCTTTAAAAGCCCTATTATTCCCTAGATGTTCGAAATACTTCGCTTTTAATACATGTCGGCTTAATTCAAATAGGGGAGAAGGCAGATCTTGATTCGAAAATTACTTTGGTATAATAAGTTTTTCTCTGAAGCTTATAAATTTATTTTCTAAACACATTTGTGTATGTGTATACTTGTATAATACTCTTCTTTGCATACAATTAGTTAGCTATATCAAACAAATACGACTCAATGATGCACACTCATTTAAATCGCTGCGTCGTACAATGCACCTGTTGTTTTTGCAATTTTGTATTTCCCCAATATATCAGTATATCAAAACTAAATCGCGACCCCAATAAAAATCAGTGAGGCTCACGTTGCCTCATAAAAATGGAATCGAATCTGTCGGAAAAGCACACGTACATAAATAACAGAATGGCAACATAGGTTTGTTTCGATATATAGTATACTATATGTACAAGTATGTAGTCAGCAGCGCTGTAAACAATTATTAACTTTGTTGCAATTGTCGCAGACTTGGCGGCGATTTTCACATTATTGCCACATGTGCAAAGGGCGTCAAGTCTAAAGCCCGGAGCGAAAGCAGGGAATCTGTTTGTCAGGGGCAGCCAGCTAGCATGTCCATGTCCTTGCTTTCGGGAACATTGTAAAACGTTTTATAGCCGCAGCACGGCAGAGGACGATTTGTTGTTATTGGTGTTGTTTTAGCTCGGCCGCTGCTCCAAGGTGTGTGCCGTCGGCACAACAGTTACTTGACGACAACTGCTATGCTTATCGGATGCCTTCTGAATGCGAATGTAGAATGTGAGGCGGAGTGGGAGGGGAGGGGAGGAGCAAATTGCCAAGCACGTTGCTGTAAGACACCATGAGTAACTGTGCCTGTGCCTGTGCCGGGCGTAGGTGTGAATTGTCTTAAAGCAAAGAGTTTGACATCCAAGCCACCACCATGCTCTTTCGCTGCCTGTTTGCACAAAGTTTCGACATTAAAATGAACACAGCAACAATATAAACTGAGGCAGGGGTAAACAAAACAAAAAAAAAAAGCAAAAAAAAAATAGAAAGAAAGGACGCAAGCGGGCAAAACTTTAGTGCGATTAAATCGAGCGAGCTGCGTCGTTTGGTTTGGGTGAAAATCTTATCGCTCTGCTAAAGCTCGTTTCATTTTACGGGTAATGCCGCAATCAGCACTGCTCACTTCCAGCTACCCGGGTCCGGCGGCTTTCGTGTCGGACGCAATGGCTCTGCAAATATTTTACTTTTACTCTTTGGCGCAGCAGCCAGCTTGGGATACTTGTAGCACAATGGAGTCCGGGTGTAATGCGACGCAAAAGTGTGCCAAGGATAATACGGCAAGACGCACACACCAAAATCAGAACATAGACAAATATGCGTTGAAAAAAAGAGGCTCTGACGCTGCCAAAGCGCACAAAAGTTAAAATTAAATTAGCGTTTCTTCCCTGCGCACCACTAGTTGTGATTGTTGCTTGGTATCCTTTGCTATTTGTTCGCACTTCTTATGCCACTTGGTCTGCGTCCTGGCGCTGGTCACTGACGCTACTTAGCCAAATTACAATTGCAGGCCACTTCTCTATACACTTAGTTTAGCGAAGTATTGTGCTTTGCTAAAGCTGCGCCAAGCCAGCAATTCAGAATATTGCATCAAAATACAGCAGTGTCTGAAAGGAACTACTACAGTACTTCAACTCTCAATACTTGCCGCCCGGAAGAGGAAATCGTTATCTAAATCTACTCAAAAAACAAACAATACAAGTAGATTTGTCAATCGTTGATCGAAATCGCGTTTGCTCTTACATGTACGTTTTTGTACTCTGCACCCGAAGGGCTAAAGAAAATCTAAACATCAAATAAATACGATGAAATGTATCAATAGTAAGTAAGCTAGATACGTACTTCTGCACCTGAATCGGAATAACAATAACAGCTGCTTCCCCCCTTTCCTTTTTTTCTAATTATATTTCCAGCCAAGCCTGCCTTTCCAGAGGTTCTGAATACCGATACTTTTGGAAATCTTCCACCTTTTAGTTGGTACTGAAACTGAATGATTTATGATTTATCATTTAAGTCTTAGTACTTAGAAAGACAAATTCTGTGAAGTGAAAGAAGAATGAAATACCTTCTGTGTCTCCATAGTGTACTCCAAATATCAGTATTTCTGGAATAAGAATACTAAGAACTAGTTGCCAAAGTTACAGATATTTTAACTTGCCTCTGTATAGAGTATCTCCAGGTCAATTAGAAGTGCAAAAACGTCAATGGACTTCATTGCTATTGTATGCGTAGTATAAAAATGTTTCTAATCCATTTTTCGGCTTCTCTTTACTAAAATGGAATGGCAGTTCATTTAGCTCCCTGATCTTATCTATGTATGTATTTAAAATAAAATACTATCAAATAGAAAACTTTCTTCAAGATATACTCAGGTCAGAAGCTAATCAACTTTCTTATATAGAATGGGGAACTTTTATGGACCGAGCAGCTATTCTTGCAAAGTAGAATGAAATGAAATATCAGATTTGAAAGTATTTACAGAAGTCTCCACATTATAGATGGTTTTTCTGACTCTGACAATTTAAAATAAGAGGACAATCAACTTTCTCCATATTTACCACAATTGGAATGCCGGAAATATTTACGGTTATAACTGGAAGCTTGCTGGCCCCTTTCGAGCCGCTCCAAGATCCTTCTCATATTCGCACACGCCTTAAGAGGAACCCATTGGCCAGGATGGCCACTCGGAGTCCTGCAATCATCAGCATATTCTGTTGGAGACTAATTCTTAGTTGAATGGAAAAATATAGCATACGATTGTGCTTAAGTAAGTTTGTTGCTGTGCTCCAAACCCCTGCGATTAAGAAAAAAATAAACAAGCACGGTACTACGTTTACCATCATGGTCGACGGCCGGAATACATTTGAATCCGAAATTAATAAGCGCATCTGGCGTGATTGAATTGTTTTGTTTCTATATAAATAACGTTTAGCACTCTCTTCGAATCCTCTCTGGGAGGCGGAGAGATAAGCAGAAATCGAAGAACAACCGCAATGGATTGATCTTTCGGTACATTTTTGGGAAGGATTCCTCAATAATATAACTCGTATTAAAAGTAAATCTCGAAAACTATAGCCACTGACAGAATTATCTATACTTGTATTATGTTTTAGTGATATTCGAATCGCATAGCAGATAACAGAACTGGTTTGTAGTCACTATCTTATACTCGTATATTGAATGCATTTAATTGCTATCTTAATCTGTCTTATCTAGTGTATTACAAGTAATTTAAAAAACTAAACCATCTCATCGTTGATGTTTTCCATTATCTGGATCAGACGTTGGGCATTTGTCAGTTTCCAGGTGACACAGGAGAGGGACGTTATGAAGAATCCAATTCCTGCGATACATAAGAAACCGATGGGTTTCGTTTTTCCGATTCGCACATACATAAGCACTTACCGATTAAAAGTATTGCCTCTGATGTTTCATCCTGCCACGCCTTGGATACCATGCACAACAGAATAAATCCACTGAGCAGACAAAAAGAGCCAACAACGACGGCCAGCGTTATTAAAATGATGACTGGATCGCTTACTGTGTACGCAAACAGCTGCCGGCACAGCGATCGCTTGTGTGTGGCGCTGCAAGAGTTACGAATTGTTCAGTTGAGTACATACGTATATCTGGTATACTGGTATCTACTGGCGTACCAAGAATGCGCATAGCTTGGCAACGTGGGTGTGTGTCCGCTGTCCATGCCGCTACCCAAGATACTGAATGCTGCGAGAGGCCCTCCATTATGGAGCTGCAGGGCATGCTGCCTCATTGTTGATACTATTTCTTGAGTTTCAAAATGTAGTCAGCTGACGCGTCGCGTGCCTGCCGGTTTTCTAATGAACTATTTATAGAATCTTCGCTTGGAGTTGAAGGAAGTGGAAGTGGAAGTGGATGGAGCGGAACGGAACGGAACTAAGGGGCAGACGTGTAGCCCGAGCGTGGCAGCGACAATGCATCTATTCTTAGCAACCAGGAGGATGTGCTGTGTGTATGCGACTACATACAAGTACAACATAGTTCCGCAGAGTTCATTGCTCGCTGGGGCATAGCGCACAGATACACGTAAATTATATTTGGAGTCGAGGGTGTAGCCAAGGGGGAAGTCAAGCTAGATTCTTTTTCCCCAAAAATGACTGTTCGATTCGTGGCATAAAGACGCCCATAATTGACATTACTTTCCACAAACCCTGCTCCGCTTTCTTGAAATGATGGCTACGCCCTTGTGTTGAGCTGCAACCTTCGCAAGAAAATAAGGCAGCAATGGTTTATTTTCGCTTGCGCGTGTCTCATGTGAAGGTGGTGTTAATAATATTACCTAGATTCAATAAAGTTCACGTTCGCAGCATTTTAAACCGACCCTATTGCACGGGACACATGCTCAGGATAATTGGCGCGTTTCTGTCTTTGAATGATCATTAAAAATAATATATTGCAGCTTTTTATTCTGCGATGGCGTAAAGACATTCGCTATCCATAATTAACGGTGTAACAAATGCAATATCTACTATATAATAAATAAGTAAATTAATCAGGAAGCGTCGGTCAAAGGTTTCTCAAACTTTGAATAGAACATTATATTTTTCTCTTGATCGATTTCTAAACTTGCTTGAGTACTGTCTATAAGATAAATAACAGATAATGCTACAATCAAGCAAAATCGATGTGCGCCCATAAAAGACTTGACCGATTTTAATGAAATTTTAAACAAAAGTAACTATGGAATTGTATGGTATACAAATTTCAAAACAATAATCAAATTTCTTCATTTTTAAAAGATTTCAAAAAGGAAGGAGGGTATCGATTCGCCTGTATTTTTCATTTTAAACAAGCCCCTTTTACTGAGATTTTCACGAAGCGTAAAACCACAAATTCAGCATTAATCGACGATTAAAATATGGAAACAGTTTTCCCTTGGGGCACACTTATTATAATACCCTTAACCGCAAATATGGGCTCAATGGTCATCAAGGTGCAACATTTATTATCAGCCTGCTATGCTCCAATCATGATTCTTGTTAAAAGCCCAACGCCTCCAACTTGGGTTCCCTCTTACGCTCTGAACAGAGAACTCTTCGATTTCTGCTTATCTCTCCGCCTCTCAGAGAGAATTTGCAGAGAGTGCTAAACGTTATTTATATAGAAACAAAACAATTCAATCACTTCAGACGCGCTTATTAATAAGCTGCTACACATCGGATTCAAATGTATTCCGGCCGTCGACCATGATGGTGAACGTAGTACCGTGCTTGTTTATTTTTTTCTTAATCGCAGGGGTTTGGAGCACAGAAACAAACTTACGTAAGCAGAATCGTATGCTTTATTTTTCCATTCAACTAAGAATTAGTCTCCAACAGAATATGCTGATGATTGCAGGACTCCGAGTGGCCATCCTGGCAAATGTGTTCCTACTCAATCGTGTGCGAATATAAGAAAGATCGCGGAGCGGATCCAAAAGGGCGAGCAAGTTTCCAAATTTAACTATAATTATGTCCGGCGTTCCATTTGTGGTAGATATGGAGAAATGGTATGTTGATTAGAAAGTTTATTGGCGTGTGAACTCAACATTTTCCCACCAATCAGCATTACGTGTGCTGCAACAAATGGAAGGTCGAGTGCAAATCCGATGGCATGGCACAATTGAACAATGCAGATTGTGGGCGTTATCAGGAAGCATACATAATAAATGGGCGAGAAGTGAGCCTAATGACTAGACCGTGGATGGCACTGCTGAATTATAAAATTGGCAACCAAACATTTTTCTCATGTGGTGGAACACTTATTTCGAAACGTATGTACTCTCCAATTTCTAATCTCTTTCTAGTCTCTTTCCACAATATTCATTCTTCATTCAAAGGATATGTCCTCACGGCTGCCCACTGTATACCCAAGGAAGATGACAATAAAGAGCTGTAAGTTACAAATCCTGTTCAAACTGTTTGCATTTTCTATGCAATTTTTCACGATAGAGTGTCCGTGCGTTTGGGGGAACACAATTTATCGACTGAGAAGGATTGCGAGGACGATGACAAGCCGGAGAGTTGTGCCCCAGCAGTCCAAGATATCGAAATTGAAAAGATCATAGTTCATGAGGCGTATAAAAATAAATATAATGACATTGCTCTTCTTCGATTGAAAGAGAAAGTAAACTTTGATAGTAAGTTGAATTGTGATATACACTAGTTCTGAGCACTGATAACGTACAAGTATCTTATTACCTATAAAAGGGCACATCAATGCAATTTGCTTGCCATCATGCCGAACTGAAGGTCAAAACTTCGAAGCTACTTTAAAATACAGTGTTACTGGCTGGGGTCTAACGGAGAACGGAACTAGATCAGATGTAGCTAACGAGGCATCGATTGATTATTATAATCGCTCTGTCTGCTCAAATGCGTTCGCAAGAGAAATTAAGCAAACACAGTTATGTGTGGGTCATCCCACGAAGGACTCATGCAACGGCGATTCCGGAGGTCCATTATCCGCCGTAACGTATTTTATGAACGACATTCGTTTTGTGCAATACGGTATTGTGAGTTTCGGTTCCAATGAATGTGGTACCGGCAAGCCGGGAGTCTATACGAATGTTGCCAAATATATGGCATGGATAACATTCAAATTGGAAAAGGAATAATAGTTTGCCATTGATAATGAGAAATAAATATTGAGCATTAAAACAATTTGTATTGTCCTCTTATTTTAAAGTGCCAGAGTCAGAAATACAATCGATAATGTACAGACTGTAGGTCTGTAAATACTTTTGAATCTGATATTTCATTTAGAATTGAGTCCCTACTTAACAATATTATAAAAAAAAACCGTATTTGATCATATTTAATGTTCTTATGCCTGTGCCTTTAATATTTATTTCAAATATACAAGCACCTTTTGCATGAAATTGCTGACCTAGCCAATCAAAAACTGGTTTGGTATTCGACTTGCCTTCAAATTAAGAATTAATTTTTGTACGCAACTGTTTGAGTATCAGACACTCACCTAGGGAGTTCGAATCCAAAGACCATTCTAATGAGGGTCTCTGGTGGAAATATTTCCTAGCAACCTATTAGCTTGCCAATAAGTTACAAAAAATCAACATAAAATGAAAATATTATGAAAAGCAACCACTTCCATTGAAATCAACAAGCACTTCGCAATTTGCAGGAAACATTGCGTTAGTTCGACCTGAGGGTTTTCTCGATTTTCCTCCCGTATTCAATGCAGATGTTAAGTCGGAAAAGGGATGTAGACGGACACGCTCTCACACTCACACACAGATGCATTACAGCAGCTGCTGGATCATCAAGATGTAGCCCGAATTCCTACGTTATCCTCACTTTTCGAAATGAGTTTCGAGCAGTCTGTGTTGAACATTTGCCAGCTGCAGAGCTGCAGGACCCAGTTCAGTATGCCACGTCAAAATAATGCTGATATTTTGCAATGGGATCATACTTCGCTGCTGATGCTGCTGCTTCCCCTGGCATGGATCGTCGCCATATACTCAGGATATTCGCTTGCCAACTGGTTTCACTTTCATTTCGCATTCCAAATATACGGCTACTACAGCAATTTTTGCAATAAGCCCCAGGTTCGACGCTATATGTGGTACGTCCAAACGATGACACTATTCCAATGCAGACCTATAACATGTACGAGTATTTATATCTTGTTTTTTCTCATTTCTTGCAGGTTTATGCAAAAAAAACTATGTCCTGTTTAGTAAGTTTATTTATTGTTTAAGTTTCAATTGATGGATGGATCAAAAGTAATTAAGTCGCAATATTTTCCACATAATAAAAACAATAACTAAAATGTGAATAAAAAAATTTAACTCAGTACATATAGTATAGTAGACATATCCGTGAGACACCAAGTAGATTTTGGTTAGATGGGATTAATGCCACTTCAATGATTATGGATTTAAAAGGGAAAAGGTATTTTCATAATTAACTTAATTAACTGACGCTGAAATATGTACATGGAAGAAAATAAAGTAAATGAGCGCGACGATATTGTTAATCTAAAGGACTTATTACTTAAATATGTTTTTTTAATTAGTGTAATAGTCAGGGCGCTCTGAATAAAAAGAACACATTGTTTGCATATTTTCCATTGACTTAAAACTTCTTTTAAAATATGCTACGTGGGTATATATATACCAGTCATTAGAGAAGACAAGTTCGTTTAAAATTCCGATATACGAGTATAATGCGGACTGATCGAAACCAAGGTCCCTAGTACAAAATATATCCCCAAAACATCAATTCATCATTCATTTGTTTCTGTTTCTGTCTAATGAAGCGTTATCTTTTTCAATTCTTCTTTAAATTGCTTCTGAATATATGAAGCTATGCGCCTTTTGACATCAATATAATGCTTAGCACATATATAAACATGTTCCTTCTGAGTACTTTAGACTAACTCTGAATACAAGTAGCTAGCAGACACATAACAAGAAGGCTGGTTTTTAAATTGTTAGATGATCAACTTTGTTCCCCAATTTCTTCGCAAGCATTTGCAATATAATTAGGAATATACATACGTAGTACTTATAGAATCGCAAAGTACAAAGCGAATCCCAAAATGAGCAGCTAATCACTAGACTTGGTCTCACTTTGGCTGCTGCTGTGACCAAATCTGTCTCTTAGCAGTCACAGCACGTGCCTTATTGTTCGAAGTAGATGTCCAAAATACATAATGTCTGCATCTCCCTCTCTCTCTCTCTCTCTCTCTAGCTCTCTTATACAGTTTGTGAGTATTTTGCGGGCTGTTATCAACATCGAGTTGCAAGGCATTGACGCGAGCTGAGCTCATTTGATTGATAATTAATGCATGCTATAAGTACATGGAAGTAATCAGGAACTGCAGTGTACGGTATATGCAATATACCTGTATATATGTATCCATAATATTGGATGCACTGATGACGACATCAACGACTTCTGTGCGGTGGTTTTCTCACAAGCACTGGAAATTACATGGCAATCCAATTGGCCGACTCCTCCTCACTGCCTTTGTTCAGAAGCATTTCACTACCAGCTGGGGAAAACACGACTTCTGGCCAGCTCATGCTGTTGGCTCTGATGTTGCGAGCACGAGCTTGCAATAAAAGCTTTGTGTGAACGCGCTTCTCAATCAGTTCAGTTCTACGCCCCAGTCGTGCCGTTTATTCCAAAGATCGCCGCACAATCCTAATATACTTGTAAAGTATGTTCGCTCAGAGCTGTAAACAAAGTTATCGCGCCTTTGTCGTTCGTGCCGTTGTAGCTGCCACCTGCCTGCTGCTCGCTATGAGCGCCTTTTATAGTCCGGACGATGCGCCCAATCAGTATTTACACCCCCGACGAGCCATGGAATAATGCCATAATTTTAACTCAGTATAATAGAATAGTATAACAAATAGTTTGTAACTGTTAGAATTAAATGAAGAAGCGAAGTGCAGAAAATTGTAAACAACAACAATATTGAGCTTTTCATATCCTTACACTAAGTACTGTGCTTCAGAGCTCCCCCCACGTGAGAATCAGCATCGCACACGTCCTTCGTGACCGTCACGTGCTGCTGTTTGACGGCCTCGCAGGCACGTGTGCCGGTCTTGTTATTCATCAAGTTGTTTATAACTCGGCGCTAATTACTGCCACTAGTCGTGAAACAAAAGTTCGCCGGAGAAACCGGTTAAGTGCGATGTGTCTTGCAACTAACTGTATTGCGTATTTTGTGTTGTTTATTTTTGAATTTATTGATTGCGGTTTGTTGTGGAATTCCACAAGCATTCAATACAATAAACATTGCAATAACCCGCGAATGACTCATGTTGTTATTAAATATTTGCCGTGGGCAGCAACTACTTAATTAACTAAGCGCCTGGTGTTTTGATAACCTTTCTACTGATAGTGGAATTCGACTCTAGCTCTGGTTCATCTTTAATCTCTTTTTATATGTGCCATCCAATACAATTAAAAATACATTTCATATTGCCTCCCGCATCTCGCTTAGGTTTCAAAATCCAGCAAATGGTTATCAAGAATTTTCTTTAGTTGTTGTTTCCAGCATTTATAGAACATTTTCAGACATTCTCCCCATTAATTTGTCAGAATTATTTGCGCAACTTTGCCAAAACCGTCTGATTTGTATGTGCGCGTATTTATTAATTAACAAGCAATAAACATTCAGCATTTAATTTGTCCAAGCTCTGTCGCTATATTTTATGGGGCACATGTGCCGGCGTTTTTTGTTTGTTGTTCGTTTAATCCCGGCCTTGTCCATTGACCGATTTGTATGAAGCGTCAACTGGCGATTCATAAACATTTGGAAGTACTTAGGTTCGCTAATTGCCGTTCCGTATATAACAATGTATATATAGTACATATAAGTATGTATATGTACATATATTAAATTTGTGTCTGTTTCGGATTTTTTGGCGAGTCGCACTTATGATTAATTACTTCGTAGCACCAGTTGCAAATATGAGAGATCAACCTACGACTGATAATTTTTTTTAATTAAAAAGGGGGTCAAGCAAGGAATATAAAACTGACAGAGTACAATAACAGCTTAATCTACAAACTGTTTTTGTTGTAGTTGATGCCAAAAGCCGGCAACGATACACATTGTATAGAAATCAATCCTTTTAAATCTCTCATTTGTCTGCATTTTTTTTTTTTTTCAAATATATTATGTTTACTATTTCCCTGGCTTTCAGCAATTTGTCAGTCCTTCAGTGAGTGTTTTTTTTTTTTTTTTTTTGATTTGTTTTAACTCCCAAAAGAAGTTTACGGAAGTTCTAACAACGTAAAACTTCCAGGATCTGTTACGATTGTTTATCGTGTTGTCTTTTGTTTGCACAATGGAATGCACCGTTATCAGTAGAATATGTAGGAAGTGATGTTAGAGATAATATTTTTATTCCATTTTGGATAAATTTTTGTATTTTGTTTAGCTTATACTCACACCACTCTGGTTCGTCGCAATACCATTTATCGTTCCGCTTTAAATGGTTTTGTGCTCTTGCTATTTACTTGGTTTGTGTCTACGACACAATACACAAACATGCTCCACAAACACAAAGTACTATAGCCAAGTTAAGCACCCAATAGTATGCAACAATATACATTAATTTGTAATATAGATTACAGGTGGTGACATAATATATTAAATATAGATGGCGCTGGTAATACCAACACGAAGGTACAATTTATATTTAAAAAGTACCATTTCAATAAAATACGTAAAATTAAATGTTTAATAAAACAAGACCACTTACATTTCCAAATAAATGCATAAAAATGTTTAACTTTAATGAACATGTTTCATTAGCCTGAGAAATATATCCAGCATGTGAATAGTTCCCAGCAAAATAAGAGAAAGTATCCACAGGGCCTGAGACGCACTATAAAGAGCAATTAAAGGTATATCAGAAATGGATTATTTCGTGACTTCGGCTTCAACTTACTTACGCGAAGGCTCGCGGAAATACCAAAAGTCCTTTCGTTTCACCGAAAACATCTATGTCGTTTATTAAATGACTTTTCTATTAATCCGAAATACTATTTAAAACAGTCGGTGACTGAACTACTATAACTAGGCAGCTTACTATAATAGTTATTGATACGTGGTATAAGAACATACATAGATACGAGTATATACAAAACATTACAAAACATTTATGGCAAGCGGTCATTGGAAGTTGGAAAAATCCTAGTAACAACTTATATGGGATCCACAGCTAGCGCTTACTTGCTAAAGTTCTCGATCTGCTGGAGCACCCAGCTACGGGATGCCGCTGGGCTCATGTGCGACGGACAAACAATGACACTGGAAAGATCATGTAGCGTGGCCTTTGTTGGTTTTGGGGCTATCTGTGGCGGTTGCTGCGAGTTGCGCGATGGGGGAGGCGGCGGTGGTGGGCTTTGGGGCCGCTTCATGTTATAGTCTCCGCTACGCTTTTCATTGTCATCGCTATAAATGGCCGAGTCTCGAAAATCCTTTTCCAGATTATCCTCCACATCCTGCTCGTACTCGAAGTTCGTTGGCAGCTCGGCAGCTGAGCGCTTGCGCTGCTGCTCGCACATGCTGTCGCTGGAGGACGTGAGCGAGAAGACCGAGTCGCGTTGCAGGGATGCCTCCGAGCTGGCCACGATGCTAAACAGTGTCTTGGGATCGGCGTAGTCCACATGAGCCATACGCTCGCCCACTGCCTCGCTGCCCTGACGATGCAGGATACTCTGGCGGCACATTTCGCTGACGTCAGAGACTCGCCGCTCGGGTGGCCTATTTGAGCGCCCGAAGGCCATGCTCAAGTTATCAATGGACTTGAGGGCACGGGGAAGTAATGAGAGCTCCGAGCTGGACACGTTCTCCAGTGATGTTTTGCTGCTGTAACTACTGCTGCTGAGAAGGCGCTTCATTATATTCTTCTGAATGGGTCGCGGATGAGGTGCTTCGCTCTGAACTGTGTTCTCACCCTGCGACAAGTTGCTCTGAGAGCTGGAGTCCAGCGAAAGGTTGATCACCGTATTCTGGCTATCCCGCTTCACCGTCGACCCGGAGGAACTGTTGGAGTCGGTGCTGTCGCGCTGAAGCTCGTAGCTGCTATGCTGACGTGTCACTACATCTTCGCCTACGCGTTGGAGGACGCCTTCCGGCGAGTAGACGAGTGTCACATAGTCGGAATCGGGTCGTGCCGCTGGGGCTGTGGATTTCTTCTGACGTGCCTTGAAGTACTGACCCGATTTGGCGCGACCCAGCACTGGGGAGAACTTATAGGGTACATGCACGTTGCGCAGCAATGTCTCATAGATGGGCTCTTCGCTGACGGGCTCCTGGTCACAAGGTTGGTCGGACTGCTCTTGCTGCTCCAACTCCAGCGGTGGGGGCGAACGTGATGGCGGACGTGGTGGCAGTCTTAGCTCCTGTGTGGGGCTCAACGGGCTGAGGGGGGTCGTAGAAGTTGAGTTGCTTTCACGTCTCTTCTGCTGCTTATTGTAGATGCGTTCGAATTCCTTATTGTTCTTTAGTAGGTCCAGTATGACCTGTGCATCACGTTTGGATTTCTCGGCCGGCGACAACGTCTCGTATATGGGGGTGCTTTGCTGCTCTTGCTCCGCATCGACTGCCGTAGTCTCCTGAGCCTCCTCGGCCAGCTCTACCTCGAGCTTTCTTGACCCCCGAACATCCTCGGTCGATTCGGTAATTTTCAGCACCGTAGCGCTGCTGCTCTCGAACTCGCTGAGATCCATGTAGAACTTGCAAGTCTCTTTCTTGCTGCAGCGCTGCTTTTTCAAGTTGGCAATACGCTTGGGCATTGTCTTGTGATTGTATTGCTTGACCTCGAGGAGTCCCTTTCCCTTGACCTTGCGCTCGCTCAGATTGGGTTTGCTGCCACGTAGCGAGGCACTGTCCTCATCCAGGTCCTCTTCCACGCTCTGACTTATGCGGGGCACCGACTTGCTGCGCTCCTTGAGCGCCTTGTAGCTGAAAATTGGTGATTTGGTACGACTTGCGCGTTGATCCCGCAATATGCAGAGGCAATGCTCGTCCTCGCTGCACTTGCAGTCCTTACTTGGCGATGCATCCCCTGCTGCTGCCTTTCCATTAGCCTTTTCTCCATTCTCGACCGTAGTGATCGCAGTAGCATCCCTGGACTCTCGCTTGCCGCTTCGATAGCGCACGGCTGCCGCGAGCTTCTGCAGAGCCGTATCATCCAAGCTGTTGTTGCGGGTCAGCGGCTTCGCTGGCTTGACAGCCTCCTGTTCCAGCGACTCGTTGAAACTGTCAAAGGAGCTCGAGTTGGTGACGGTCTTGCGCTTGAATTTCGAATTTCGATTGCGGATCTCGCTGCGACGACAGGCATTGCGACGCTCCAGATATGTGGGCGTGGAGGAGTTGGAGTGCAGACTCCATTTCCAGGTGCTGCGATCGGGTGTGCGATCTGCAAGAACTGGACATTAGTAAAGAGACAAAGCCCGAAACATTTTGCTATTTGCGTGTGTCTTTGGCGTGACTCTGTGCGATAAGCGGATGACGTGCTATGGCGTGTGGGCTGCGCTACAACAACAACAACAACAACATCTCCAAGAAGCACAACATTCTAAGCCCAGTACATACATACATACTATACATTACATTATTTTGTATTTAGTTGTTGCGAAGAACTCAAAAATAAAAGCTAAAGCTAAAGCTAAAACCCATGCTCATGCAGCGATAGTTGAGAAAGTAATAGATGTTTAGAAGGAGAACAGACACAAATTAGTAGGCGCATTAAACTGCTGGTTGGGTTAATCGATGGGGTAGTAAAGTTCTAGCATGTGTGGGTTAATATGCAGGACACAGACCAAAGCCAATTCAAACGCAAGCCAATTACGTAACGCAATACTTACGACACTTTTGAGAATTTTTCGTTTTTCGTTTTCAGTATAGTCCGCAAATACCAGAAGTCTACTACGATAGCTTTTGGGGACGGTTAATATGTTTATAATAACTACAATTGGTATGTAAGTTTTGCTTTTGTTTATTCAATTGAAAATTAAGTGAAACTTGTAACAGCTTTTCGTTCATAACAGCTTTTTGTCTTTGGCGCCTATTACAGTCTCTTAGAGCGTCTTAGAAACTACGAGTGATTAGGATTTTCTTTTCATTTTGTGGTGTTTAGTTTTAGAATGCATCACTGGCAATACTACAACGGTAAACATATAGCATATATATATATATATATATATATAGAATAGCAATAATTAGATAAAGGTTTAGGTAATTAAATAAAACATAAAGGCTTTTACTGGATGGGTTAGTTATACAATTATACAAACAGCAATAAAAGATCTGTGCGGCCAAAGCACATGCAGTTCCCACAGACAAACTCGAATCAGAGTGTGTTTCAAATACAAGTACATGTATGTGCCATATTCACAATTAAAATGTGCAAACACACACACACACACACACACTCGCCTCATAAATCAACTTGCCGCAGAGGCGTCGACAGATTTGGCACGATTTTGGCCAAAAGACACCGGAAAAAAACAAAACTGCCTAACGACTGCTACTTGGTTATGTCACTCGAGCAATCGTTCGAGCATGTATGTCGACTCTGTACTGTAAGCAGCCAACTATGAGTGGCAAGTTACACGACAAAAAAAATAGGCCACCTCTCGGAATATCCCATCAATTCCAGCACGCATACACTTATGATGTTCATTTTATCAACAGCTTGAAGCTGGCCTTATTTCTAGTTATCTCTAATGAGTGGCCATAATTATTAAACAGGATCTACCATAATTACTGCCCATAGTACAACCTAAGGACTATGAGTGGCAAGTTACACACCCAAAAAAAAAAAAAAAAATAAGCCACCTCACGGAATTTCCCATCAATTCCAGTACACATATAAAGTATAACGTATAATGTTCATTTTATCAACAGCTTGAAACTGGCATTATTTCTTGTTATCTCTAATCACTTGCCATAACTATTAAACAGGTTCTACCATAATTCCTGCCTAAAGACAAAGAGTGGCAAGTTACACACCCAAAAAAAAAATACGCCACCTCACGGAATTTCCCATCAATTCCAGTACACATATAAAGTATAACGTATTATGTTCATTTTATCAACAACTTGAAGCTGGCCTTATTTCTAGTTATCTCTAATGAGTTGCCATAACTATTTAACAGGATCTACCATAATTCCTGCCTATAGTACAACCTAAGATAGTACCTTAGGTTATGGAAAATTATTTGATTGTAAGTTGTGGAAAGCTCTGTTATAATTTTAAAGTGTACCCACATGACATTCAAAAACTTAACGCCTTGGCTTCCCATGCATAACTGTAACGTTAAACGAAGCCATCGTCCGTCATACTCGTAGCTACACTTACAAGTACATATGTATGTACTCGTAGTATGTATTAACTGATGTAGCATGGGTTGGCGGCATGTGTTTTGGCCACAACAGCGACTGGATAGCTGCTTGGAGCTGAACTCAAGCAGCCATCCAGAAAAATAATAAACGACAACAGCAACAACGACAGCACATGTTAGGTTACCCACACGTTAGGTTTGGTTGCCAACACCAGCACCAGGGCCTCACTTACCTTCCTCGTTGCCCAGCTGAAAGACCAGCTCCTTGGCGCGCATCGGTATGTCGAGCTGCTCGAGCATGACACTCTTGATGTGCTGCGTCCAGACACGCTTCTGGTCACGATTTCTGGCCGTCAGTTTGATTTGATTGCGCGGCTCGTCGAAGGGTATGACATAAAAGCTAGTCGGCTCACCAGGCAAATGCTCACTCAACATTAGATTTTTTTGCTGCACAAAAGCGAAAGAACGTAAGCGTCGGTTTTGATAACTTTGGTGCGAGGATCACAGGAGGACCACTCTAAGGGACCACTTACGTATATAAAGTTTTTGAACTGCAGACGACCGTCCTCCTTTTGCTTGGTTATGATCAGCATTGTGGCAAAGAGCAGCACCAGGCGCGGCTTATTGTGCTCCATAAGTAGGCCTTCCTGTCTCAATTCACCCAGCACAGTAAGCTCTAGCAATTAAAGATTCGTTAGGTCCAATGCAACAACAACGATTTACACTCTTCAGTTTGCTCACCTGGACCCAACCAGCCGTCTAATATACCAGACAATTCCTTGACTCGACTCTGTTGCTCCTGATTCCGTTTAACTTGATCAATATTATGAGCCACTTGCCGCATGATGGAATATGCTTCGGACACTTCCTTGACATCGCAATGCTTGCGCAGGCTCTGTGAATTAAAGAGCGATAGCATGAGGAACAGGCATAGCTTTGGTGCTCCCAAAGAAAGAACCGTCTTATAAAAACAACACAATTGAACGGAACTGTAAATGAGACCTGACTCTTATACTTATAATCATGGTACACATTTGCAAATTGTTTATTTCGAAATGAGCTTTTTTCAGGGACTGTAATCAGTATAAGTGTTGTTATAAAATTTACAAAATAGTGATTATTTGCTAATTATATTCATTTTCTCACAATATAATGATTAATTTTGAGTTATTCTTTACAGCTTATAAAATAGTCATTATTTTTGAGCAAAAAACTAAAACTCATAAAAAAATATTATTATTGTTTAGGATTCATTTTTTTTTTTATCAAATATAAGTAAATGTAAACTATAACTCAAATGAATCATTGTACTACTGTGAGAGAATGAATAAAAACTAAATCGTTTAATCCGAAAAAGTAGGATATTGGTATTGTAAAGATCTAAATACCAATTTATACTAATGTTATCGAGAAATGTATGTGTAACGGAAAATAATTATGTTATTTGTATTGTAATCGAATTATGGTCGCACAGTGTTATGAAGAAGATGGCCGTCGACAAAACACGAAATTGAAACTCGCGGAAGCTCCCCGAAACTTACTGAAATTTATTCGTATTTATATACTCAATAAGCACTTATCCAAAATGTCATTATCATTAGAATTCAAACAAAAGCATAGCCAAGTGTCTTTTCATTAAATTTTAGGACCCAGCTTTAATACTGACCCTTACAGGTATGGATCATACCGTTTTCAGAAAGTTACTAAATAAAAATAATAAAATAATATTTGCCGTCCCTGGTTTCCATATGATACAAAAATAGGAGATATGCCACTAAAGACTGCAACTTCATTATTCTCATTGTGCGCACGTACATATGTACATTACAATAAGATTCGTGCAGGCCACGTACGAGTGTGTCTTACGCTCTCTTTTTCAAAATGCCACACGCCATGCGCGAATACTATCGTGTAATCGAAATGTGTGGCTATTTCTATACAGATGCGTTCAAAAACAGAAATTTGCAGAAACGAAAAATATTGATGTGTACATTGGATAACATGTAGCAGCATTACTTACGTCCAGCAGCAAGTGATATTTGAGTATACGCTGCACCGGCTTCAACAAGTAGGATCCCAACGGCAGGCGATGCTCCAACATCTTCTGCGTGGAGGCCAGCAGCGCGTTCGTATGCGTCGCCTGAAGCAGTTTGGTCAACAACGATATGGCTTCCGGGTAACTTGTGCTGCAATATGCCCAAAATATACGAAATAAAGACACATACAAAGAGAGAGAGAGAGAGAGGGAGAGATAGAGAGTCATAAAGTTCGATATGTGCAATAATTTTTGCCAAGATTTATGGCATGTGTGATATTTGAGGTCTTTATCAGACAAGAGCGCCGACCCTAACAAGCACGGACGCGCAGACTGCTTCAAAATTTGAATTTAAAATCAGCTGCTCGAAGGCGAAGGAGTAAGTACACCACACTTGGCATGATGATGTATGTGTATGTGTCAGTCTTGGCGACAAATCAAACTGCAACAATCAGCCGCAATGACAGTGACAGCGGCCAAGTACGAGTAAATGTCAGCCAGGTCTCTTAAATGGAACATGGCGTGCTTGGCTTCCCAAAACACGGCTGGCCGTTTGACTTCGTTACGAATGGCCATCAAGATCATTTGTAGTCAGGCCGAAATAACGTACCGTTCTTGGCCAGCGGCTGGCTCTATCTGATTTAATGGCACGCAAAGTGTTTCGGGTCGAGAGGTGGGTGGGTTGGTTGGTCAGATCACTTACCAGTAGGTTGTGTACACATCAAAACGTTCGCGCAAATTTATGAAGCATTTGGCGATCTTGTTCGGATCCATACCGGAGTTCATTAGTTGCTTCAGCAAAGTCGCATTGAATTCGTAAATCTCTTCAATGTTGGCAAAGAGTATTTGCAATTCGTCTATGCGCAGACAGGCGCGTTCCTTCCAGTCGTGCAGATAGCTGTACATTAATAAATAAATAAATAAATACTATACATATATCTATATATCTTCTATCTATATATCTTCTCCTTCTCATTCTATACTTTTTCGCTATTTTTCGAATGATGGCCTTAGTCAGAGTAAACGAGTATCTGAAGAACGAGACTATTTGTCTTTCTTTTCTTTTCTTTTCTTTGGGTATTCTTTGATAAGATATTGATCTTCTAAGATATCTTAAATTATAAATTAATTGATACTTGACTCACCCTTTGATAACCTGGCCCAGATCCTCCACATAGCTGCGTTCTGAGTCCACAATTTCAAGGCAGGCGCGCTCAAAAATTGTCAGTCCCGAGTGCGGATCGCCGAGTTCGTTTTCGCTCTCCGCCAAGCTTTCCACACTCGCCAGATAGGAGGTGGCTAGCTTGCCGTTGAGCTGATCCGAGCCGGAGCTGGAGCTGGAAGATGTGGAGCAGATGGAAGATGAGGAGAGCGGTCGGTTGTTAAGCCTGGCAATTTCGGGTAGCATGAGCGCTCCATTAGCGCCCAAACGTCTCCCATCCTTGTGCAAAAACTTTGGCTTGATATCTGTGAGACGATCCAGACTCTCGGCTGACAGCTTGTTGGCCTCCTCCAGCTCGGCCAGCTGCTCGGCGGTGGGCAGCTTGAGGGGCACAGCACCGCCCAGCGTGTTGGCCTTGGCATTCAGACTTTTGGTGCGCGCATATGTGAGCAGCGGGGAGGTGGAAATGGTGCTTGCACAGGCCGCAGAACAGCTGCGTACCAGGGGCTTGGAGATCAGCGGCTTGTTGATGGCCTCGATTAGTTGCGTCCCCGTCTCGTTCAGGGCCTCTGCCTCCAATTGATCGCACAGAGTCAGCTGCTCGATATGTTGTGTAACCAGATCGAAGTTAATCGTGTCCATGAGCTCTACAGGACTGAGTGGCTCGGTGGCCACCACAAACTCCTTGGGGCGCGTGGTATTCACGCCACTGCTGCCACTGTTGTTATTGTCATTAGCATTATTGTTGCTTGTTTTTGTGCAACTGCTGTTGCTGTTGTTGTTGGCAGTGGTGGTTGCGGTTGTAGTTGTGGGTGTGGGTGTGGCTGGCTTTCCATGCAGCAGCTGCGTACTTGTCGCCGCCAACTGCTCCATCTCAATCAGCTTTATGCTCTGCTGGGTCTCGTACCTGGGCAGCGTTAATTTGCGCGTCTTCTGGCCCAGGGCCGTGTCGAAGGTGAAGGGGCAACTGGGATTGGTTGGCGTTTTGTCGTCATCGGCCAGAGTTGGTATGTGGACAGCCGCTGGCGTTGGCGGTGCCGACAACTTGCACTTGCGCGCCTTTTTCTCAGCAAAACTCTTCTCGGCGAAGCACAGGGAATTCAAATACTCGGTGCTAGAATCAAATGTTTGCACCAGTTCGCTGCCAGATTGCGTGGACAGCTTTCCCGTGATCTTCGAGAGCGGTATGTGCGAGAGCTTTGGCTGCTTCGGCGTTGATGTCGCTGCCGGCGTCGGACTCTTCTTGATGTAGCGACAATGTGGCACAGGACTCTGCGAAGGACTGTTCAGTAGTTGCTTCTGCTGCAGTGCCTCAATGTCAATGGCGTCCACGTGCGGAGCATCGGCATGTGTGATAATGCGCTGGACATTCGGGGATAATGCGATGATGTGATTGCCGCGTCGACTGCCCGTCGATGAGTTTGAAGTTAGGCTGAGGCTGCTGCTGTGGCTGCTCAGTGACGATGCCCTTGGCGTGCCACTGACTTGTGGTTTGACCAGCCGACTCAGCTGCGCACCGTCTCGCTCCTCGCGCAGACCGGCAACCTGAAGCGAGGCCGCGAATGCATCTGCGGCTCTCTGCTCTAAAGTGTAGCTCCCCTTCTGAGGCTCGTCGCTTTGACTTGAGTGGCAGCTGCTGCTGGAGTTGCGTTTGGGCGTCTCTTCGTCGTTCGCGTCCCCGTCACTGTGGTCGTTGCCGTTGCCGTTACTTTTAAGCTGGTGTGCTGCCAAGCTGTTCGTCAATGTATCGTAAATGCCCAGCAGCGAAGGTGCCAGTTCTGTGGAGCTGCCTGCAAAGAAGAATGGCCAAATGTGAGTCAGTATCAAGAAAATCATACATACGAGCATATTCAATAGAGCGCTGCACGCATGCGCACTACTGCATGTGCACGAATGATTCATGTACCTTTAAATGAATACCAAACATATATTGCAAATAGAATTAACGTCTTATGACAAAAAACCACCGCTATCTGACCTAGATAAGTAAGTAAGTAAGCGCATCTACTCTAATACTTCTACTTAGATGGTTTGATTAAAGTTAGACAAAATTAATCTAGTAATCAAATGAAATATAAGAAATTTATTTCAAGACCTGATGCAAAATCGATCGTTTTATTCAGAATTTGATTTATACTTGAAGTGAATCCTGATTGAATGAATGAATTGGAAGTGCCTTGGACATCGAATGACTTCTACAACGAACGAACTCTTTCGAATGCATGGAGTAATCAATATAAATAATTATATGTTAACAGACGCGACTTCGGTTCGACATATGACAAAATTAATCTAGTAATCAAATTATATACGAGAAATTTTTTTCGAGACCTGATACAGAATTCATGCTTGAAGTGAATCCTAATTGAATTAATGAATTGTAAGTCCTATAGATATCGAATGATTCTACAACGAACGAACTCTTTCGAATGCATGGAGTAATCAATATAAATAATTATATGATTATTTCAATAGTTCCGGTAATTAACAGTCGCGACTTCGGTTCCGCATATGACAAAATTAATCTAGTAATAAAATTAAATACGAGACATTTTTTTCGAGACGTGATACAAAATCGATTGTTTTATTCAGAAGTGCTTAAAGTGAATCCTTGCTTGAAGTGAATCCTGATTGAATGAATGAATTGTAAGTCCTATAGATATCGAACGACTTCTACAACGAACGAACTCTTTCTAATGTATGGAGAAATGAATATAAATAATTATATGACTAATTTAATCTAGTAATCAATTGAAATATATGAAATTTATTTCAAAACCTGATACAAAATCAGAATTATTCAGAATTTGTGCTTGGAGTGAATCCTGATTGAATGAATGAATTGTAAGTCTTATAGATTTCGAACGACTTCTACAACGAACGAACTCTTTCTAATGTATAGAAAAATGAATATAAATAATTATATGATTATTTCAATAGCTCTGCTAATTAACACTCGCGACTTCGCTGGCGTGCATATGTATATGTATTTGTATACAAGTGTATGTATGTCAGTCAGCTACGAGTTCACCAAGAAGCAGACGGCGTGATACTCTTAAACACATAACTTCGTGATATTTGCCATAATTGTGTTGCGTAAAATGAATTATGCTAGAAAATTGTTAACAGCCATGGGACAGAGGAGAACATGCAACAGCAGCAGCAAGCGCACACTATATTGAGTTGTTTAGCCGCAGGATGCATTTGCAACAAGCATAACGTGCCCATCAGTCAGACAGTCACTGCGCATGTTCTTACAAGTCTCTAAGTCTCGTTTGCTGCTGCATAAATAAGTAGGTTGCCAGCCAGCTAGCCAGACGGCCAGCCAGGCAGCCAGCTTGCCGATGCCGCCGCCGGCGAGACTGACATGTGAATTGATATGCCAACGCAGCATAGCAATTCCGGCCATAGCCTAATCGCAACGTGAACGACTCCGACTTCAGTTGCGGCTCCAACTCAGGCTCAGACCCAAGTCAACAGACAACGGGCAACAGTCAACGGCAATTGGCATGGACATTGTGGCATTTCGCATACCAAAGCGACGCCGGTCGCTCTGTTTGCTCATCATTGCACACAAATAGTTCAATTAATCAAAAGCGCTCACAACTGCGGATTTAATAACATTATCGACAGCTATATGTATGTATGTATGTATGTGTGTATGTGTTCCGTACGTATACAAGTACTAGATACAGCGATCATTATGACAGTTGATATATAAATTATAGAGCATGTCAGTTAACAGACGCCATTGTGGCGTGCATGAAGCAAACTTTAATGATTGCACAAATCAATATTTGTATGGCCAGGAATGTGAAGCTTATAGCAGAGCCGTGTACTCACTCAGTCGTTAAATGGGGGAGCCCAACAGATTTCATGAATTGAGATATGCCGTCCAGTTTAAAATAAGACACGGATTTTCTGTTCCACGACTAGAAAATGTTTATTAAGGCCCAATCTAACGAAGTTGGCAAGACCGCTCGGAGCGCGACAAATTCTTTCCGCACCGCCGCCTAAATCAGTCAATTAGGCTTAAACAAACTTCAGCACCTCTGGTAACTGCAGCTACTGGCTTTGGCAACAGCTTTGGCCATGCGGCAACAGGTTTTAGCTGTTTAGAATCTGTGCGAGCGCACAGTAGCCGACGGGCTACTTTTCTAATTGCAAACCGTGTCAATGTGGCTGCTTCAATGTTGCCAGCAACATGTTGCAAGCACCAAAATTTACATCAGACCAACAGGCCTGCAGACCATCACACCGATCATCGACAACAGCACGAATAACAATTAGTTTGCATGAGTGCCACGCCCACGGGCCCACTGACAGACTGACTGACAGACAGACTGACAAACTGACTGACAAACGCTGTCTGGCTGACAAGTAATAAACATGATTTGTACATTTAATTTTGCCATCGTAGTATTGCTAGATTTTCTTTGCCGTTGTGCATGCGTGGGCAAGAAATGGCAGCAACATCTGCCAGCTTCCCGGCATCAGCGCAAAAGTGCAGCCTGACCCAGTTTTATGGCAAAGCGTTTGCTTAATTGCTGCCGTGGGCCGGCAAAAAGCGGTCCGTTGAACAGGTTCGGTGCCAAAGAAATGTCCATTAAAAAAAAATCAAATGCACTAAAAGTTGAGTCAAGAAAGGAAAACGAAATAATTGCAAAAATGTTTAATTAAAAGCCGCGTTTTGTTGATTTGCCTATCGTCTTAAGCCGGTCGACCGACCGACTAGCTAACTGACTAGCTGGCTGAGAATGTAACTACAACTGCAGCTGCAACTGCAACTGCTGCTCCTGTTGCGCAAATTGTTTAAACAATTTATGGCATAATTATAAGCGACAGTTTTATTGCTGATTTCAGCAGCTGAGCCCAAGAGGCGACGACTCCAAGTTGGCCCATTTGCAATCAGGCTGCCAGACAAGTTACGAAGGTCGTCGCCGATTGGTTACGGCCGCGTCGCTGTGGGGATACGATGAAGAGGGCATTATGCATAGAGCGCTGTTGAAAAAGACCCCAACAACAAATTGCCCTGTCATATGTATACAAGTAGTATGGTGGAAAACAATAGGCCAGTTGTAATCGGAGTTGCCGTAGCTCTCGCTGTCGCAGTCGCTGTCGCCCTCGCTTCATCGTGCCACAAATAGTATGTAGTGTCAACTGTCAAGACGACACACAAGCCAACCAGAGCCTAAATCCCAGGCCGGTTTCATTTACAAATGTCACACAAATCCCTTTTAACGCTCGAGCGACATTTTCTACCTATTTCTAAATCTTATGACACACACAGCTCTTTGTTAGCCATTGTGGGGGGGCTCTCGTCTTGTTGGAGTTGCTGGCTTCAGGTATCAGCACACTGAACAAATTATGAAGATTATAAAGCTTTTAAGTTTAAGCCAACTTAAAATGTTTAATTATATTAGTTCATATGTTTGTAAATTCGGATTCTAAAATCTGCACCCAAAAATGCTTTCATCAACAAATCCCAGATAGTCTAGCGTCTGAAGTGGGGGATTCTGTCTCCACAGCTTCTCATATAACTCTTGATACTGGTCAGTCACATTAAAATTCGATGTCATCACCACGTTCTCATAATTGTTGGCCGTGCCCTGGTGGGTCCAGTTCAGAGAGCCAGTCATAATAAACCCCTTGCAGTTCCACAATCTACAATGTATCCGCTTCTCCTGCTCATCCAGGTCGAGAATGCGCTTCCGGCCATCGATTATGCAGAACTTGTGATGCAATGTCAATCTATCAGAGGCTGCATGCACCGGTATTCCCATGCGACAAAGGGTCACCACCACCGATCCCCGCATATATATCATTTGCGAGTCGGTGACGATGCGTAATTCGACGCCCCGGTCCCAGGCACGGACAATGGCATGGTAGATAAGGCGATGCGAAATGGTGAAATGAGCAATGTCTATGGAATACTTGGCATTGTCCAGGTACATCACAATCCGATTTACCCGACAAGTCTCACAATATTTCTTTTTGCAACCATTGGAGGTGTGATACCCCGGGCTCCTGGTGGGCAGCTCGTTGAAAATAACAACGTCTGTCGCATCCGGTTCACCGTAGATGACTACCCAGAACTTGTAAAGCTTATATTCCATTCCGTACAGCCGACTGCGTATCGGCGGATAGCGGCATATCTTCTCCCAGTGCCATCGAACGTATTGCCGCATTTTCGCATAAAAGCCCTTACAGCTGCAATGCATTTTAGTAGAGGAGCTCACCAATTTTGACAAATACTTACGGATTCACTATAAATCCCATGACAGTTAAATTAAGCTGCAATATTTTTACGAACATTAGGGTAGAACTACACTCGTGCACAAATTTGCCAAGAATGCCGAGACTTTTTCTTAACTCAAACTGTAAGCCCTGCCAACTCAATTTAGCAAAGGAGAATTCCTGATTATGGAAAGGAACGCATGCTATAATTGCGGATAATAGGTTAACTTCCCCGCAGAATATTGTTTGATACAGACATGCTCGCATTTCCACATTATCGGGTTATTGCTATGATAAGCTGTAATGCTTCCTTAATTTTAGATATGACTAGAAAATTCAGTTCAGTTTTTCAAAATTTTAGAAGAACATCTGATATGTGACTGTTGGCCCAACAGTGTTGGGGAACTTAAGAAAGCAAAAGAGTAAAATACACGCGAAGCACTACTTCTCGATAAATAAAATGCCACATTGCGATACTTTCCTAAGATGATTTCGATTTGCTAATTGATGTGAATTTAATAGGTAAAAGAAAACGTCAGTTTGAGATAAACCAAAAACTGTAGTAAAACTACCATCAGGAAACCATCTGTTGAAATTATGACGTTTTCCAGACTTAGGAGAGCCTGGACACATAGTTTGCTGTTTCTAGCTTTTATACTTTCTATGATTCTTGACGGCTATACAAATGGGTGATCTGACGACGCCTTTGGAAGAGATTGATTCTTCATTTCGACAATAAATTAGGGCATTAATAAAAACCAAACATTTGTATTTTGATAAAAATTTACAGTTAGCATTCGCTGATTTATAATATGTATGTATCAGCAGCATTCGTTTTCACTTGGAGTGCCTTAAACTATAGAGTAGAGCTGGATAAACATCGATGATTCGTTGTTTTTCGGGGAAGAACATCGATGTATCGATGCATCGAACTTCTTAAAAATGTTTTATTGATGTTTAAACATAGGGAACTTCATTTTGATTTGTCATATTATTGAAAAAGCTAAGGTTTTGTATTGAATTCAAAACAAACGATATTTTCACAAATTCAAAGAATATTAAAAAAAAACCAAAGAAAGTATAACATACATATGTACAGAAATAAAACTTCAGTGGTGGACAAGTAGTTAAGAACATCGAACATCGGGAATAAAACATCGATATCTAAAAAAAAGATCATAACATCGATGTATCGATGTTTCGTCCAGCACTACTATAGAGCGTGATTATCGGCGTGAACCCCCCCAATTTTTTCGAGTGCAGCGACAGCAATGGCCATGCCTCTTAAGCCTTTTGGAATTTATTGCACAGCTGACACCATTTCATAATATTCGAAAAACGCTTGCAAAACACACGCAACTCCGCGAATGGAGGTGATGAAGAGATTGAGGATGGCGATGGTGAGGGTTGACCGCAGATTGCGCGACTCATTGCTAAAAATAGCCGACCCAAGTGGCCAAAAGGTTAAATTGGAGAAGGTGTTGACAATGGCAGCCGATTTCGCAGGCTACCCCGACGTCCCTAACTTCCTTCGCGGCTTCCTGATTTATGCGCCAATGCAAGTTTTTCATAATTTTTTTTTTTTTTTTACTCCCAACTCGGCTCATTGTCGTGACATTGAATTATGCGAAGCGCAAGGGAAAGTGTTTGGTTATTTCTACTGCTGCTGCTGCCTCTGTCGCAGCTGCGATTGCAATCGGAGCGTCGACATCGGCGTCGACGTTGGTGCCGCAGACGACGACATCGAGCGACAACTAAATCGATTGCTGCTGCATTGTGACATTGGCAGCAGGCTCTGCCTCTGCCTCCGGCTCTTACCCTGACTCTGGCTTTGGCTCGGCACGCACGCAACTTCAGCCGCATAATGCGTTTTTATTTAAAGCTGCAAAACTTTGTTGCTGTTGTTGGTTTTGGTGTGCCGCTGCATATGCATTCGTCTTACTTACGAGCTGAAGTCCCACTGCCAGTCCCAGTCTTCGTCCGTTCGTTGACCAGAGCGCAAGCTGTTGATAGCATTATTAATGCGCTTATGCCACTTGGCCCGTCCGTCCGTCCATCCGTCCGGCCTATCTGTTCCGTCTGGCCAACACCACATTGATATTTTAATCGGCATTTCATTTTGTCTGCCGTTAATTTTATGCATGGCGCCGTCGTTGTCGTCACCGTTCAATGGTTGTTGTACATTGTTGTTGTATGTATGTATGTATGTGGATTTAGGGAAATGCTGCAACTCCATCCACCTATGTACTATTTGCCTACGAAGGTAGCTGCGCTTTAAACTTATTATAAAGTTATCAGAATGCGCTACTATCGGCTTAAATGCTCGTCACACACTACGTGTTAAACAAGCTCAGAGCGTCTTAGCACGCATTTTGCAATTGACATTTAAAAACGTCAAATCGTAATACTCCAACATAGTAGTGTAAAATGCTCGACGCAAGCATTTCAGCCGATAAGACACGCAATTGTGCAATGCCAGCAGGTGTTTAATTGATAGAGGGCCGTTTACTTAACGATAGCTTTACAAATGCTGACTCTCATAAAAGACATCATGCAGTATACAAGTACATACATATGTATATGTATATAGGGTCTAATTTTGCATTTAAGTAGAGCTTATATGCCGGCTTTTTCATCACGAAAGGGTCATGAGCTGCTTGAGGTAGGTCAGCATCGTTTCTAGAGAGCATTTGAATTCGTGCCTACATGAAATAAATAAAGCTCTATTCAACTTCACAAACATTACAGGTTTCATCAATCCCTTTTCGTGTTTGCTTTAGGGAGTTGGTTTTTTATTACAATATTGTGCCCCATATTTTTTATTCTATAAAATTTATCCTTTATAGGTATCTCCGTGGGAATCTCAGACCACTTACTGCTGCTTACTTGCCGGACTGGTTTTCAAATTGTCCCCCACCGGGTTGGAGATTTCCCTTTGCTCTGTATCTTAATGCTTAATTAGCTGTTATATAGAATTACTTTTCCTAGGTTAGGTCTATAATATTCTCTGACCACATATGGCTGTGATTAGGGGCATAGCTGGCCAAATGACAAATAAAATTCCCCCAACGGGTCGGAGGCACTAATAGGCGTTATTGTATAGTTTTTTCTTAGGCTTTCTTATCATTTAAGTTTAAGACATTAGACATTATACTGTTGTATTATTTCTCTTTATTTTATTTTCTAATATTATATTATAATATAAATCATAGTTTTTGAATACGTATCGAAAGCACTATGTGTTGATTTATTAAATAAAATAAAATATTTCTCACTATATTCTAAAGTCTTTTCAAACTTGGGGCACTGTGTAGCAACGATTAGTGCAATAATGTTTTATTTAGTTAAAGGACAGTGCTTGAAGGCTTTCGTGTTCTTTTTGTTTATATTCACTTGAGAAGATTTTTAAATACACACATTCGATTTAAAAGCAACACTAATGCACCTAGTTGATTACTAATGCCGACTGAGGGAGAAGAGGTGTCCAATGAAGTTATCCTCTATCTTAACGTAAAGAACCAAATGAAAGCCACATTCCTCATTGTAAGGTACTCCACGCATGTGTGGACATGAAAGCATAAAGAAATAAACACGCATTACCACAAGCATTACTAAACATTGCTTCAAGCGGATGCAGGCAATACTTCGAAAATAAAAATCCATTAAATATAGGGGCACGAGTAGTCATAAAAATAAAAATTAGCTGGAAATGCTGTGGAAATTAAGCAAAACTCCAGGCAAGGCATTAAATTCTTGAGCGCCGCTGCAACGATCCGCCGTACATAAATATCTATTTTTAGGCAAGCGATGCGTTGAGTCTTAGACACCAAGACATATAAATCACAGGCGCTCTCAAAAGACCACAACTACCAGTGGTCGTAAGGCAAAAAAAGAGCTCAGCAACTTTTGCTTTTAGCATTGCCTTATGAATGGAACCTATCGACGAAACGCTTTCAGCGAAAAGTGAAATCCTTTTAGACCCCATCAAAAACAACAAAAAAATGTAAGAAAATGTCGCAGCAGAAATGACCAAGTATGCGAGTCCCCCTCCCTCCCTATCCCTATCCCTATGCCCATGCCTATCCAGTGCAGACTTTGCAGTTATAAATCTTGCTAATATTTGCACGTGAAGAGAACGACAAACGTTTGCCTGGCCAGGCCGTAAATGTCACGCAATGCGGGGGGAGGGGATAGGGGGGGTGGAGTGAAGACCACGTCTGGTCGTCGTTCGCATATTAGTTTTTCTTTAGCAACGTGCTAAATTCCAAAAGGCGAAAACCCATTAAACAGCAAAGAGTTGCAAAAGTGCTAAAATCTCATAAAGCGGAGGATGTGGACGTGGATGTGGATGTGGATGAGAATGCGAGAGCGATGCGGCAGCTGCATCTAAATTAACCTTCTGAGCACGGGCTTCAGCCTGCGGAGGCATGTGACACTTGTGGCTAAAAATGTTGCTAGCGAGCGATAGCAACAACAACAGCAACAACACTTGCACTTTGCACTCACCAGCCATGAGCCATGAGCCATCAGCCACCAGAAACCAGCCTCAATTGCTGAGTGCCGCGGGGCGTGGGCGTGGTCGTTGTCGTGGCCCTGCCTGGATGTTTTGCTTGCCTGCTGCCAAGAAAACTTCAAGTGTCAGCAGTTGATTGTGTGTAGATTGTTCTGCGGATAGAAGTGCAACTTCTTCTTCATTGTGGCAAACTCTGCGCGCCGCCGTTGACTTTGACATGACGAACTGCCGCCTGGCATTTCGTTGCATATGGAGGCAGCAGCAACGGCCTGTCGGCAACATTGCGTCCGCCGCCTGCATGGCCAGCCCCCCAGCCTCCCAGCCCTCCACCTACCCCCTACCCCCTACCCCTTCGCCATAATCTACACCATCATCGTCGGCGTTGCGTTTTTATGCCCTTTTCTAAATATTTTGCTGAGCCCCCTTTCAATGCTGCCATAAACGTTTTGTTGTGTTCGTGTTTTATGCCCTGTTCTGATGAATGGCAAACAGCTCTAGGCATAAAAGTGTGAAAATATTTCTAAAAATAGTCGCGCTCTGAACGCACAGTGTGGAATATTGGC